ATAAGGGGAGAAGGCCCAGATGATCCCTCTCCACTTTAGGATCAGGAGAAAACTGGAGAGGCATGACTGTGGTACACCATCCCATGGCAGGCAGTGAACAGAGGAACTGGAGAGTGGGGGCCTGGGTGTGGGCTGGACAAGCTAGTTCAGATCTGGTCTTCTCCGGGTGCTCTGAGAGCTTGGCCAAGGTATTCTGGCGTCATCTGTAAAAGGGACTGATCTTGCCCTGCCTTGGAAGTTGTGCTGAATGCAGCTCCTGGCACTGAGGCAGCTGTCACTATCATCTTTATCACTACTGCCGTCCTCACATCTGGCCCTCTCCCCTCACATCCCAATGCCCAAGTCCAGCTATCCTTGGAAATTATAGGGGACTCCAAACTTCCTTGGATCGGTGGCTAAAGAGGTTCTCTCAAGCCACTCAGCCCTGCAGTGCCTGGCTCTGGTCTACTGCTCTGGGAAGAGACCAGGCTAGGCAAAGATAGCATGAGTTCACTGGTAGACCCCAGGCCAGCTGTTGTCCCTCCCATGGCCTCAGTTTCTCAGTCTTAACAATGTACACCTCTAAGTTTTTTCCATCCCTGATACTAGAAGACCCTGCAATCCTCCTCCTAACACCCCACACCTCCACCAGCCCCCAGCACTCACAGCCCACACCAAGAAGACATCTGATCCAGTCTTGGGCCTTGGCGACTGGCTGCTCCACTGCACCTGTTTACCCAACACAGCCACAGACATGATCCAAAGCTTCCGGGGCTGTTGTGAAAACAGTAGCTCAGCCACCACAATCCTGCCCTCCTGGGCACCTTGGCAGGGACCTTCGAGGGACAGTCATGCTGGGCCTGTACCCAGGGCCTCTCAAACTTCCCCAACAAAGGTCCCATGAACCCTCTCCTCCTCAGTCTGGGCTGTATGTGCTACCTCTCGACTCTCAAGTCCCCACTTTTAGCCCAGACCGTCCTGAACCCACCTATCTCCCTGACCTCGCCACTCTCTAGAGGTGCTCCAACATGTCTAAAACAGACCTACTGATGTTCTCCCACACAAGTGCCCCCCATCTCCTAGCAGCACCAGTGCTTGCCCAGTTGTTCAGGTGGACACCTGGGGGTCGTTTTCCTCCTCCCCCTTCCTCCCGACAGAGCAACACTATCATTCCCACCTCTGTGGTCTCTGCTTAAGTCCTCTTTTCTCTCCACCGGTTGCCCCCATCCTGGCGCCATCTTCCCCAGGAGGTGCAGCTACCTGCTCACTGCTCTCCGTCCTCTGCTCTGGCCCCTACAGTCCCTCTGCCGCAGACACTGTGTGGGTCTTTTAAGACAGTAAAGCAGATCTCATCACCCCTTGCCTAAGCCCCAGCGTTTCTTGTTTCCCTTCTGATAAGTTCAGATTCTTTTCCCTGACCAGCCCTCCCACCTCCAACTGGCCCACATTACCTCCCTGACCTCCTCAGCCACTGCCCTCCGTCATTCCTCTGTCCCAGCCACAATGACCCTTTTCAGTTCCCTGAACAGCCAAGTCCTACCCCACTTAGGAGCCTCTGTGCTTGCTGTTCTGTCTTCCATTCCCCCTTCCCCAAAATACATGCTGGTTCCTTCTCATCATTTAGGTCTCAGATGGACACTCCCTGATCTGCCCATTTCACAGATGAGGCAACTGAGGCTCAAAGCAGTCAGTTCCCTGCTCAAGAGTACACAGCCAGTAAATATCCAGTGAGAATTTGAACCCAGGTCTGTCTGATGCCTGCAGAGATCTTGCTCCTAAACCTTCAGGATGCACTCACTCACATCCTCAGCCCAGGCCCTGCCCATCTCCAGTCCTCCAGCCTCCTGGCCCCTGCCGACTACCCCATCATCATTATCACTCCAACACTCGAAGGCCCCAGCCTCTTAGCCCCAGACAGTGAAGGCCAAAACTCAGCCCAGCCCTCACTGGTCTGACCTTCTGCGTGTCCCTGGGACAGGCAGTTCCCTGCCATCAGCTGCCATTTGTCAAGGATGTGTGTGTAGGGGAGCATTTCTAGCTTCCCTCACTCCTCTAGCCTCCATGAGCCCGATGTCCACCCCCATCCCCAGTCAAAGGATGACTTCAGGGGTCTGAAGGCTGGCAGGAGGGCTCTACCCACCTCCTCACCACCAGCCTCAGCTTCTCCAAGCCCAGTGTCCTGCGGGGAGCCTGAGCAGGAAAGGAGGCTCGGGGGAGGCCTAGGAGGACACAGACTGCTGCAGACTGCCTTTCCCTTCTATTTGTCATGAGATCTATTTTTCTCTTTGTAAGGGAGTGAAGGGGAAAAGGGCAGGAGGGGGCTGGGCCACTGAGTGGGCACAGCTGCTCCACCCTAGAGCTCTTCTCTCGGAGGACATGGAACCTATTGAACTTATGAAATTTTCCCCACCCTGCAGCACTGCTTCTGGAGGCAGAATCGAGCTGGGGATGAGGGAGCCAGAGACCTGGTTTCTCAGCCAGGCTCTGCAGCCACCTGGCCTTGTGACATTGGGCCAGAGCCCAGGCCATCAGACATAATAACTCCATCATCAGTACTACTTGCTGTTTTTTGAACAGTTACCATGAACTAATTCTTTACATACATAACTACAGTTTCTACTCCTTAAACATTCACAATGTGCCAGGCATGGTGCTAGCTACTTTGCCAACATTATTTGTTCTTTCTGGCACAACTCCATAAGGGTGGATGCTATAATTGTCTCATTTGTCAGAGGGAGAAACAGAGGCATTGGTGTCAAAGCCACTTGCACAGGTTTCTTCATACAGCACCTTGGAGCAGCCTCATCCCAGAGATGCAGCCCAGCCGAGGCCACTCACACACAAGGGGGCCATGCCTGCTGGAGCTAAGGCTCTGCTCTAAGTCTCAGCTTACAGGCTTGGAGTAAGGGAAGAGCTGGGGTTTATGGGGACTGCAGGGGCTTCATGGCCTCAGTCCTCCATCCCTTTACCTGAGCCTCCATCAAAGCCTGGCCAGCCAAGGCAGTGGAAAGCCTGGCCAGTTGGCCTAATCCACTGGCCAGACACTGCTCCCCTTACAGGCAAGGGTGGGGTGGGGCAAGCCACAGACAGAGGGCTGGTCAGTTCCACTCTGAAACCACTTCCTGGGCAGCCCAGAGGAAGTGAGCCTCCGGAAACACCTCAGATAGACAGGCCTCTCCCCCGAGCCCAGGCCTTGGAAAGTGCACAGACTGCCCCAGAAGAAGTACACTTTCTGCCTTCCAGTCCTCAGAGCCCAGCAACTCCACTTCCACCGGGAATGGACAATGAGAGGGGACTGAAGAGCTGATAGGACCCCTATTGGCCTGTTAGCACCTTGGCCCTATGACCACAAGCAGCCCACTTCCTCCTCTGTGGCAACAGCCACAAACAGGTGCAGCACAGCTGACATGGCCCCTCCCCCACATCCATGTGCCCCCATCTCAATGCCAAGCCCTGGTCAGCCTGGGGGCCTGGGCCAGGTGGCAGGATAGCTGGTGAATGCCTGGGCAGAGCCCACCTCTAAGTGCAGCCCAGCCCCATGGACCATCTGTGGTCACAGCCACACCTCAAACCTCACCCTCAGTGCCAGACACAGGCTGGGCTATGACCCTGACCAAGGACATCCCCTTCCTGACCCAGAATGGGCACAGTGTGGTGTGTGTGGGCAGGCATCTGAATGAAAGGATGACTGAATGAGCATCTGTGCACGTTTGATCGTGTCTGTGGGTGAGTGCATGTGAACACCCGTGTCCGTGTGTACATGTGTGCGTGTACAGGCACTCGTAGGTCTGTGGCCATAGGTGCCAAGTGCAGCCTCAGTTTCTGTACCCCTTTGTAAGCATATATATGTATATGCCAGCTAGGCAGGTGATGTTTGAGAGTTGAAAGGAAGCTAGCTCCAAGGCTAATTAACTGAACTGCTTAAGGACTGAGGCTCAGTACTGGGAGGGAATGAGCCCCTGACCTCAGGTAGCAGAGGCCCCAGTCAGCTAAGGGCACTTCACCTCTTCCCCACCAGATCTGCAGGTAGGTTGAATAAACAGAAGACCTAGTGGAGACTCTGCTTCTGTTCAGCTTCACTCCCACCCCAGGAGTGAGGGCCCTGCCCTCCTGTACCCCTCCACCCCAGTTAGGCTCATTTGTCTATTCACTTCCAAGACTGCCTGATCAATCCCTCACTCCTAGCCCTCACCACCTGGAGAAAAGATCACCTTTGCCACCTGTCCCCACTGTTACTTCCTAGGTTCCAGGTACCCTCAGCATCCTCCCCCAATGCCCCCCATAATCCTGCTAACTGGGCTCTGGACATGCAATGAGTAACTCACTGGGCTCTCTTCATTGCAGTGGGAGCTGAAAGAGGTAAGGGTGGCCCCAGAGGAAGGAATTTTTAGCTTTATGAGGGGTCTCAGAGACTGCAGCCTTCCCCAACATTCCTCAGTGACAGCCCAGCTCACCCTGAATCTGGGGGCTGGTGAGAAGGATTTAGAGTCTCTCCTCTGTCCCCAGAGAGGCTGGGGAAATAAGGGAACAGGGGTGTGGAAAAGAGCTCAGTCATGCTAGGAGCTAGACTTCATTCCATTCCCAGCTTGGTGTCCAACCCATTGTAGCGCCCAGGGCAAACTTCGGTTTCCCTGTGTGATGATAAGGACAGGCTGCCTGAGGCAGAAATAAGGAACCAATGAAATGCTGATACATCCACCTCAGCCCTTGGCTCACACACCACCTTCTCTATAACTGACCAGCAAAGTGTCACTACTCCTCGCCCATAATCACTGTTGGGCACCAGGCCTCTATGCTCCAAAGCCAAAGGCTTTCCTAGGCCAGAAGCCAGTTCCAGGCCAGGAGCACTCATTTGCAGGGCAAACTGCTGCCCACTCTGGGCACCCAGGCCCCACACCCAGACCAAGGACTCTAGTATTCCGTCCCCTACCCCCAACCGAGTCCCAGGGTAGAAGGGGACGAGCCCAAAGAGGAAGTCCATGCTGTCCACTGTTCATCTGTCTAAGAGGACTTAGTCTTACCTGGGGCTTCTGGCTCCCCCTTGCCCTTAGTTCTGGCTCCTGCTGCCACCACCACCACACAACCACCACCAGGAGAAGTAGGTCTGCACCCCTCACCTGGGTCAGTTCTCAGCAGACCTGTAGGAACAAGAAAAAGTTGAGCTGGGAGGCATCACCAAACAGGCTCTCCTCATCATTCAGCCCCAGCGTGACCAACACAGGCCTGGTTCAGCCTCATCTGACTCTGATACTTGAGGCGTCTTTGAACTTGGCTTTCTCCTCTGTGAAATGGGGTATTGGGCCCAACTTTTCCAGGGCACTGGCTATATATCCACTCCATACTAGGGTTTGGAACACTGTCTCAGCCCTCAGAGCCTTTCCAGGCTACATACACAGCAAGAAGGCTGTTCCTAATCCTCCTTCTGCAAGAGGTTGCCCTGTGGGTTTGGGAAACCTATGGTACAGTCAAGTACCATTGCCTTGGGGCTAGGGCAATCCTTCTGAGATTCACTTTGTCTCATCCTTAGAATGGGAAGAATACATCTCCTCAGGTGGTTCCGAGGCTCCAATAATGTGGCATGCTGGCTCCTGTGCTAGACTCACATTAGGAGTGCCAAATGAATAGTGACACTTTTTTGTTCCTTGTTTTACACTTTCTAGTTGAGGTGATTCTCATATTACTGTTGTACCCATTACACAGCTGAAAACACTGAGGCCAAGAGAGATTTTGGAAGGAATGACAAAGGCAGCAGTGTACCCCTGGTGTCCTGGCTGAAAAGCCTGAGTACTTTTTCTGCATGCCTAGCCTCCACCAAAGATTCCCCTCCCCAGATGTGAGCCCTTCCTCCAGCTGAATACCCACATCACCATTCCCTGGAGGCGGAGGCATCCTTAGGCTTTATCTTTTTGTCCATATTTTATTTCTAATTTTAATTTAAACTCCAATTAGCTGTGCCAGCTAAACGGTGTCAGTGCCCTGCAGTCACAGCTCCAAATCACCTCCCACCACTCTCTCCCCCATCACTGCTGCTGAGACTGGGAGGGGGGTGTCATGTGGGATGAACAGGGCTGGATGCTGGTGGGGTTTCTGTCAGCCCTATTCCCTCTCACAGAGCAGTCTGGTCAAGAGGATGGGAGGGGGACAAAAGACAGATCTCTGGCAGGAAACTGGATTGGGGGACTATCTGGGCTTTTATTGGCCCAAACTCCCAGGAGAATGGGGACCATACAGTTACGGGGAGGTGAGGGATCACAAAATAAGACATAGCATGTACTGAGCTCTCACTGCGGGGCAGGGCTGTGCTAAATGATCTCTGACACAGGAGCTCTAGTCCTTACAACTTCTCCATTCTGCAGATAAGGAAACAGCCTTAGAGAGGCCTAGCTTTGGCCCCTTGCTCTTAACAGGCACAGTAATTTTTGAGCCCAAATCTTTTTTGGGTCCAGAGCCCAAGGTCTTGGTCACAATACCACAAACTCCAAGACTTGTCCTCTGGTGTCTTGGGGGAGTAGAGGAAGGTGAGAGATGGAGACCTCCATCTTCTCCCCAGGAGCCAGGGCTGGACTTGAGCATGCCGTGTGCACACCTAAACCCGCACAGCCTCCCACATGCTCACCCACACACTGGGGCTTTCACCTTCCCTCCCAGCAGTGTGAACCCTGGGTGCAGGCACCACACACCTTGTTTCATTCCCTCCTGCTCCTGATACCCACGCCCAAGCACTCTTGGTTCCATACAATCAGTACTGCCAGAGCACACATACTCACAGTTTCATACAGTCAGACTGTGAGTCTCCCACCAGTCATAGGCCCATACCACCAGTCTCACCCCTAGACACCAGATCCCTTACACCACCGTACAGCTAGGTACAGCTGTCCAAACACCTCCACATCACACTACATATCACACACACACACACACACACACACACACACACACACACACACACACACACACCACTGCTGCCCTCTGCCGGCCTGTCCGCCACACCCCAACTCAGTCCACATAAGGAACAAGGAAACCCAAGGGACCAGTCCCCTCCCGTGGTGACCAGGTCAGCCTGATGACAGTGGCAGAGGGAGAGGAAGAACAATATGTGAGTGCACATACATACACACTAATAAAGATACACTCACATATGAGCCTGGTAGGCTGGCATACTAACACCATGGGCTCCCACGATTAACACCTTGAATGTACTCATGGCCAGTGGGTCACCATGACACACCCAGTATACAACATAGGACTCTCTAGATACACATGGATGCACACACATGGGCACACAAAGATACACACACACTCCAACACATAGAGGGGAGCGTGATGATAAAGAACACACCAAGACATAGCATATACATAGTTGCAAAGGGCACGCAGAGCCTCAGAACACCCAGACAGACATACACACATACACACTCGCAAATCACACATGAGGAAAAAGAATCCCAGGGGCAAGTTCCAGACACAGTGACAAACAACACTCAAGCAGACATAGACACAACATACCTACACGCCCCGATACAAGCGACTCATCTCAAGGAGAGGATCCATGCATACAAGGCAGCGGCCAGTGAAGGAAGGGACAACCCTCCATTTACAGCAAATTCTTATAATCAGATTTAAGTGGGGGACTCAGTGGGGAAGTTAGGAAAGTCCGGCAGTTCTGACGGTGCCCTCCTCCTGCCTCTTCACGCCGGCTCTCCTCCACCGCCTCCCCTCACATGGCTGGGCCCCCATCGGCATGGCGTCTGGTTTGGGAGGGGCCTGGGGCAGAATGGTCCCTGAAGGGGGCCATCAGGGTAGGGGGCTCAGAGGAACATAAGGGAGGGGCAGAAAGGGGGCGGACACTGGAGCCACGCCCATTCCGGAGACAGATGGGGGGAGAGAGAGAGAGACAGAGAGACAGAGACAGAGAGACACAGACACCGAGACTGAAAGGAGATAGAGCGAGGAAGAGGCGCCGCGCGGGCCGGGCAGGGACCCAGGGGCGGGAGGCGAAGCCGGGCAGACGGCCTGGCCTGGGCCCCGCGGTAGAAAAGGAAAGGCGGCGGGGACAGGCTGGGGGCGGCGAGCGTGGGCCGGGGGCGCGGCTCAGGGAGGACAGGATCTAGGGATCGGCGAGGGGTGGGGCGATGGGGTACGCGGAGGGTGGACAGAGAGGGACTAGAGAGAGGTGGACGGGGAAACACAGAAGTGGGGACAGATGGACGGACAGAAGGCCCCAGAGATTCCAGAGGGACGGAAAGACGCTTGGAGGAGCTGGGGACACAGGCGGGTAGAGGGGCCGGGAGCAGACGGACAAGAGGCCAAGGCCCCTACGGCTGAACGGAGGGGCAGACAGACTGGGGGACCGAGACACCGGCAGGTCTTGGCGCACGGCGGGACCTTCGCTGGCGGCAGCTCAGTTTCTCAGTTTCGAAAACGGGAACCGGAGCGGGAAGGGGGGAAGGGAGGGGCAGCGTGCCCTTGGGGTAGCCCAGATCCCACGTCCGGGCCCGCCTCACTCACCTCCAGGCGCAGGGCCAGGAGCCAGGGGTCGCGGCGGCTGGGGTCCAGCTCCCGGCGCCGGTCCTAAGCGTGCGCGCAAAGAGGAGTCTGAGGCGGGGGCGACCAGGACTGGCCTGGCAGCCGGTGAAGTACGGTCC